TCGTGGGCACCCACAGGCCCAGCAAACTCAAGACCTTCCCATGTGGGTTTAACGTCTCACAGTGCTCTGTGGCCACTGCACCACTGGCTGGCCCAGGGCATCAATTCTGAATTATGCCACACTGTTTCATATCTCAGCTGGGGAAGATAAAAACAAGTGGCTGGAGGCAGCTGGTGGTGTGATAAAGTTAAGATGGCTGGATCCCACACAGACAACTGTGCAGTTTGAATCTTAGACCCGGCAGCTTGAAAAGGACACCAGGCACATTACATGCACTCCCGGTGCACGTCTCCCATTAAAAAAAAAATCTAGGAACCAGCAGTTGGCGTGGTGGTTAAGGTGCTGGACACTCCCACATGGCTGACCACAGTTCAAGTCCTGAACCTGGCAGCTTGCTTTCTCACTCTCCCACCCCCCATGTGTCTCTTTCTGGCCAAATTAAAAAATAAAATAAATGAATAAATGAAATTAAATAAAAATAATTCTTTAAAAAAATCCAAGTAGTTATTACTCTTTTTTAAAATTTGCTATAGGGTGCATGCATTCATCATAGAGAGACAGAGAGAAAGTGAGAAATCATCCCCGGGTGGGGGGGTGTGTGTGTGTGTGGCCACACCACAATCTCTCCTCTGTTCTCCTAGGATTTGGGACACACATGCACACACACCCAGCATGTTAATGAGTAGATATTTTTATTTTATTTTTATCATTGTTATTATTTTAATTTGCAATAAGGCATGTGCACTCACTGGAGAGAAAGGGAAAGTGACAAAGCAAGCCACCAGGTCCACTACTTGAACTACGGTCAGCCATGTGGGAGTCCAGCACCTTAATCACCACGCCACCTGCTGGCTTCCATTGAGTAGTCATTATTGAGCCTGAAGAAACCTTAAAGTCAGAGATCTGCCTCAAGAATGAACAATTACTGGGGCCAGCAGGTGCTGTGATGGTTAAGGGCACTGCATTCCCACATGGTCGACTGTGGTTGGAGTCCTGGACCTGGCAGCTTGATTTCTCACTTTACTCCCCACTCCCACCCCCATCCCTCTCTGGTCAAATTAAAATAAAATAATGAAAAAATAAATAAAGTTAAATAATTCTATGATAAACAAAAAAATATTCTTCTAATCCCATATTGCTGTTCATTTTCCTTAGGTTGGTAATGACACTCACTTTTTACACCATTTAAACTACAAAATTTATGAACTATGAATTCAGTTGAAAGAAGAATAAAATGAACCCTTGGAACCCATAATGCATGCTAAGAAATAATATGACCAGCACCTTAGAAATGGCATTTATGGGAACCAGCAGTTAGCATAATGGCTATGTCACTGGACTCCCACGTAGTCGACCACGGTTTGAGTCCTGGACCCGGTGGCTTAAAACTCACACTGGTTGTGTGTGTGTGCATGCCCAAGATCTCAAGAGGAGAATGGAGGAGAAGGGACTGCGGCGTGACCATCCCCCCTGGGGGGTGATTTCTCGCTTTCTATCTCTCTGTCTCTCTCTGTCTGTCTGGTGAGCGCACGCGCCCTATAGCAAAAACCTCTCAAATAAATAAATAAGAAATGGCATTTGTGGGGCCAGCAGATGGCATGATGGTTGGAGGCACTGGACTCCCACATAGCCAACTACAGTTTGAGTCCCAGACCTGGCAGCTTGCTTTCTCACTTTCCCTCTTTCTCTCACTCTCACTCTGTCCCTCGCTGGTCAAATTGAAAGAAGCAAATAAATAAAGTTAAATAAAATAATTATTTTTTTTAAATGGTATTTGTACCCATTCCTCATGATAGCTGTCTACTCCCTAAGGATAATCATTCTCCTGAATTCAACATTAACTATATCCATTCTTTTTTTCTTTTTTCTTAAGAGAGATAAAGATTTTTGCTATAGGATATATACACTTGCCAGAAAGACAGAGAGAAAGAGAGAAATTACCCCCCATGGGGGGGGGGGAGACAGTCGGCCACAATCCCTTCTCCTCCATTTGCCTCCTGGGATTTTTGGACACACACACTCATGCTGGGTGTGATTTTCAAGTCACCAGATCTGGGATTCAAACCAAGGTCATGTGGGAGTCCAGCGCCTTAACAACTACATCACCTATTGGCCCCATCCATTCTTTCTTTTAATAGTTTTACCACCTAAAAGGGAACCCATAAAAAATGTACTGGTTAGTTCTTTTTTTTTTTTAAAGTTCATATAATCCATTTCATAATACGGTATACATCTTTTGTGGCTGGCTCTCTTGTTCAACATTATGTTTCTGAGATTCTACCAGACTGATGCTGCTATCTTTCACTCGCTGAAAGGAATACTGTTCCATGGTACATGCCAGCCTATGACATTAACTCTTCCTTTACTCAGCCAGACACACTGACTACAGACTAACAAATTCATGCCAGGGGAATTGTTGGTGGCAGTTGCACACTGGCTTCCACGTGGTAGACCAGACAGCAAAACAACTAGAGATGCTTTACTTGGTTATGCCTGAAGGGTGGGCAAGATCTCACTAAGAAATGGAGCTGAGGCCTTGCTTAGCAAGCAAATGGTGGCTCTACTGGATAAACCTGGGTAAGCGAATCCCTAAGATAAAACCCTTCCATGGTTCTGGGTCTACAGCTTTATAGGGCAGGGAAAGGAAGGAGAGGGAAGGGCGGCGTTGATATCACAGTCTTCACCTTCCTGGGCACGTCAGTGCCCAGCACCCAAGTCCAAGACAAACCTACCCTTCAGACGAGGGAAACTAAATATTTAGTCTGGAAGGCAGAGAGCAGAAGCCCATCATTCTTTCTGCCCCGAGAAAGCAAGGACAGCAGAGGGCTGCCCTTGAATCCTGAAGGTTTGATTCATCACCTCCCAACCACAGTTCTTGAAGTAAATGCATCACTTCTCAGGCGTGAGGCCTGGGGGAGGGAGAGGGTACAATAAACAGTCTCCAGATACAGAGAAAAACCGTCACCTTTACTGAACACTCCCAGTATGCAAGACCCTCAGACCAACACGCCTCATCTCAGTTTATTCCTACAACGACCCTCTGTGAAAGGTGATATCCCCACTTTACACCTGAAAACACTGAAGTTCCTAGAGCTTTAGTGATTTGTCCAGCATCCCATGACAAGTAAATGACAGGCCAGGATTCTGTCTGCATCTTCTGGTTCCAAAGCCCAGTGATCTTCTGCAGTAGTTCATCCTGTGCACTGCAGCAGAATGCACGTGCACTCGGTGACCTTCATACGTCAGCAGATGGAGATGGGGTTCTTAAGAAAGCAGAGGATGCTGCCTTGGGTGAAACTTTCAAAAGTGCTCCCTGCTGAATAGCAGCAGATTCCATGTGACTGCAGAATCAACACTAGATAGCAGAGGCCCATGAGAACTCAGGGGACAGGCATGGTAAAATGTCACAGCAGCCAGGCAGAATGAGAAGGACACTCATGTAGCTTCAACTGTCTAGAAGGCCCCACGGTCACTGATGATTAACTAATACTGAACCCCCACCACGTATGACTGGGAAACACATACTGGATTCTCTGTTGAAGCCTGACTGCTGTTTTAACAGCCAATGGTCCTCATCACAAATGACAAAGAAGGGTTATCAGGATCTATGTCTTTCAAGACGAGTTAACTAGAGAAATTTAGAGGCCAAGAAATAGGTCAGGAATTTCAAGCCAAACTTGTTAAAAGCTGGACTCTGCCTTCCAGCCTCAAATTAAGTGACATCAGCATGTTTGACACAGACTTTCTAAGTCAGCTAACAGACCAAGACTACCAAGGCTAAGGAGGAATCACCCTCAGGAGAGCGACAAGCTGGTGTTCCTCGTCCCTGGCTGTTGGCCACAGAAGAGATTCTGCTTCCTCCAGGCCTGGATGCCTATCATTCTTTTGTTGACACCAGATGTGCCAAGCACATTGTCGGTCCTTACATTATGAGACCCGACTTATTTATTCTGCCTGACTGTCTTCATGACATGAGGCAACACCTTTGCAAAGACTTGGAGAAAAGAGAAGAAGGCAATGGCACCTCTACTCCGATGACGCTATGGATAAAAGGGCCAAATATCTACCCTTTCTGCTCCAAACATCTGCCAGTCACCACAACTCCATGCACACATACAACAAATCCAGAGAAGCTGACAGCTGTCTTCAGACAGATCTTTCAAAATGCCATGGGTATTGTCTGAAATCATATTTCATTTTCAAAGCATTATTTCCCACTCCCTGGGGTTTGTTTAGGAAGATTTTTATCAAATTTTATTCATCTACTCCCACAAAGAGCAATGATTTACAAACTCCATTCATATGATTCTTTTCCTAAAAATTTTCTTTAAATGTCTGGGGATTTTGTACATTGTAATAAACAATAAACACGAGTCCCAACCCCCTCCCTCATCTCTCGAATATACTTGAAGCTATTTTCCTCCCTAGGAATTCAGTTGCCATGGAAATGAGTTTGCACCATCAACACAGGTATTAGATGGGAATTTCAATAAGTAAAATGACATCATCTGTGGTAAGTGCAAGTACAATAACACAACTTGGACTCTAGGTGGAGGAGATCTTAACCAACACAACAGGGAGAACCATGGCCTACTCCCCCAAAGAGAAATGCACAAACAGAAAATTTCACACACAAAGAACCTAAGAACGTAACACGGCTCTAAGTGTTCCCATATGTATCCAGGAGAAGTATCTACAGTCATGTCCCCAGTGTGTGAACTAAGCAGTCAAGTTCTCTACTCAAAACCTCCTGTCCCTTCATCCAGATAACTAACTTAGCCAGTCCCAGTCTTTACCAAGGAACCTCTGCCCCTTCTAAAAATCCTGAGTTCTGTACTTCCCTCTGAGCCTCCTTACATATTGACTGAGCCAATTACAAGCTCTCTGGAAATTTCCAAAAGTTTCTAGCATAAATTGTTCCCTGTCACTTCTCAATATGTTTTCAATAGCTTGAAAAATCTCCCCAGCTCCTTCTTAGCACAAAAGGAGGGGAGTCTTACCGGGATCTCCCACCGAAGCAGTTGGTACTGGAGGGCTGGTGCCGATTCTCTGCAGTTGTAGCTGTCCCAGAGGATTCTCTTGAAGGTGGTTGTGATCCTGGAGGGATTGATCACGAAAAAAAAGATAGAAATGGTGAGAAGCTCAACCCTGTCTAAAGATTTGGCTACCAATTAGGCTCACTCTGTGTATTGCAGTCACCCACCATGAGGGGTCAGGGACACCTGGCAAGCTACGACCACCAGCATGAGAAGGAAGGGGGACCAGCATGTGAGCTCTGATCTGCACCATGGACCAGTGGGGCTCAACTCTTGGAAACAGCTTCTCTTCTCCAAGGCATTAGAGAACATCCAAGGCACTTACGAACACATCGTCTTAAACATTAAGTGAACTTTGGGACCAGCAGACGATGTAATGGTTATGTCACTGAACTCCCACATAGTCTACCATGATTCAAGTCCAGGACCCAGGGGTTTAAAACTGATGCGGGGTGTGTATGCACGCGTGCCCAAAATCCTAAGAGGAGAATAGAGGAGAAAGGATTGCAGGGTGACCAACCCCGCTGGGAGGTGATTTCTCACTTTCTGTCTCTCTGATGAGCACACATGACCTATAGTAAAAAGCTCTCTTAAAGAAAACAAAACATTAAGTGAACTTCAACTTCACTTCTCTGTGCTGGAGATCAGATGCTAACCATGCAAAGTGGGGGTATAGAACGGAGGCATTTCTTCATAGTACAACCACAGAGCTTTTAAAAAGCTAAATCCGGGGCCAGCTCCACAGCACAGCACTAACGCACTAACCAAGAGAAGCAGGATTCCACATGGCAGCCACAGTTCAAATCCCTGGCCTGGTCAGCCTGAAGCATGCCAAGCATATGCAAGAGTGCTCAGGATCCAACAGACTAGAGGAAGGGAACCATGATGTGACTAGACCCTGTGCAAGGTTCCTCTCTCTTTATCTCTCTCTCTCTCTATCCTGTGCATGTGCATACACTATCATAAGTAAAGAAAAAACTTGGAAACTAAATCAGGCCATGATAATCTTCCACTAAAAACCCTTCAACAACATTCTGTTTCTCAGGATGAAGCTCAAAATCTTTACCCAGGTCTCTGAGGATGTGTGATCTGCGTTAGCCTGCTCCTCTCACCTCACCTCTACCATTCTTCCTGCTTTGTATAACCCAGTCACTCTGGCCATCTCTGTTCCCACTGCAGTCTAAGCCACTCTACCCCCACACCACTACCTTATCTAAACTCGTCACACTCCAGCTCTCAGACTCCTTAGAGAAATCTTTCCAGACACCCCAATTTAGATGAGATCCCCTCAAATAAAACTCTCATCCCCACCTGTGTTTTTCATTCACAGCTTTTGTCACAATTACAGTTATATAATTATTTGTGTGTTCACTCACTTGATACCTAACTTCCCCTGCCCCTCCAAGTAGATGATAAACCCTGGAGTGAAAAAAATCAGACCATGTGAATTTTGCCCACTGCCATGTGGCTAGCACCTGGTCTGAGGCCTAGTACACACCAGGCATTCCATTGTGTGTATGCATGTAGAATGAGTGAACAGTGTGTGCTTTTCCTGCGTTCAAAGTATTGCTCAGTTCAGCTGAGGGATTCTTCTCGGCAATCAAGGTCCCCCAACCACTGAGGTTCCCCCAAATGCTCTTGAATTAGAGCTCAAATTTCACCCCTTTGATGCTGCAGAAAGCCAGTTTGGGACCCAGAAAATGACACATCACATCAGTTACCTCACGTCTAACAAAACATTTAATGAGAAAAATTATGGAGAAACTCAGCCCATTTCACACCTCAGACTTCATGAAATAATGTCCTGCTAGATCCAAAGGTGACTAATTCAGGTTACATCAAGAGACATGAACTATCAACATTCAGGACAGGGCAGGAGACACCCTCCAATTTCCCTGCTCCTGTCTATATTTTGCTAGTGTGTATCTCTACCAGGACACGCAGAGTCCTTCCCAACCAGCACCGCCGCATGAGACACACCCTCAAACCCCCCAGCAAGCGTAGGTGTACTGAGAGACACAAAAGTAGACCAAAGTCACATTTGATAAAGATGTTTCATTTTCTAAAGCCCATGTGGGATGAAAAGATGTTTTTCTCTGCTTGTAAACCAAACAGTAACATACATACAAAGACCTGACATTTTTTGGTCCTTGATCAGAAAGTAGTCCTTGAAACATCACGCTGTGACTTGGATCTGGGATGCAAAGAGGAGCAAGAGCTAGCTAGGGGCCAGGACTGCCCAACCAAGATCCCTGGTAGAGAACCATGTTCTCAGCACCTTCTGCCACTGCCCAGCCCTGCCCTGCCCCATCCCGGCACAGCCCTGGGGAGCAGGGCGGCACTCACCGTCTGTCACAGCACTGCCATTAGGCACGCTTCCCAGATCAACAGTTGGCCCGTCCAGGAAAATTGTCAGCTCTCCGCCCGAGACAACACTGCCTTTGTTCTCTGTCTGCAGGTTCAGGGTCAGCTGCGTGTTCTCCACTGTTGGGTACAAAAGGTAACATGGATGGACTGAAGTTACTGAACCCCAAGTTATGGTTCTAGAAGTTAATACCCCTTTTGGGGCCAGCATAGTGGTTATGTCACTGGACTCCCACATGGTTGACCGTGGTTCAAGTCCCAGACCTGGTGGCTTGAAACTCATGCCAAGCATGTGCGAGTGGATGCCCGAGATCCTGAGAGGAGAATAGAGGAGAAGGGATTGTGGCATGGCCATCTTCTCTGGGAGGTGATTTCTCATTTTCTATCTCTCTGGCAAGTACACATACCCTATAGCAAAAAATTTCTAAAAAAACCCACAAACAAACAAAAAAAGGACATCCCTTTTAACTGATCTGGCTTCCCTGGCAATGCTTTTCTGCATCTTCAAATGTGTCTCATGGCATGGAAAAAGGGGTGAGAATGGGCCAGCAGGTGTCATGGTGGTTAAGGCACTTGATCTCACATGGCTAACTGCGTGGTTCCAGTTCCAGACCCAGAGACTTGAAAAACACAGATGAGTTTGTGCATGCCCAAAACCCCAAGAGGAGAATAGAGGACAAGGGACTGTAGTGCGGCCATCCCCCAGTGTGGCCATCTCCCCTGGGGATGATTTCTCACTTTCCCTCTCATTGTCTCCCTCTGGTGAGCACACATACCATGTAGGAAAAAAAAAAAAAAAAAAGGAGTGGGAAGGAGTCTATCTTTATTGTGGCTGTACAAGCATGGTGGGCAAGCTCTACTCTTTTTTTCCTAAACATTTTATATCATTAACTTAGCTACAAAATTACTGTACTACTGATTTATTTGTTTGCTTGTCCTTGAAGGACCATGAGAAAAGAGTAGGGAACTGACAGTACACAGAGGAAGAGATTAGTTGCAAGTGGCATCCACCCTCTCCTACCCACAGAAAGAACAACGGCAAGAAGAGAAACAGGACAGGAAAGCCTTAAAAATAGCAACGAGAGTCATCTCTAGAGGAGGGGCTGCAGGGGCTTATTCTCATTTCGTTAAAAATTGGTTTTTAAGGGTCAGCCCAGTAACCTAGTGGTTAAAGAGAGTCAGATCCCACGTGGTCGACTGTGGTTTGGGTCCCAGCCCCAGCAGCTTGTAAAAAAACACTGGGCATGTGTGTGCATGCGCAAATGCATCCAAAATCCTGATACAAAGCAAGAGAGGAGGAAAGGGGGTTATAGCTGACCACACCTCATTATGGGGTTCTCTCTTTTCTCTCTGGTGATTGCACGGGCCCTCTGGCAATGTAAAGGAAGGAAGGAAGGAAGGAAGGAAGGAAGGAAGGAAGGAAGGAAGGAAGGAAAAGTGGTTGCAAAATTTTTAGTCCTAAAAATGCATCGCCTTAAAATAAGGGAAAAAAGTTCAAACATTGAAGTTCAATACAGGCAAGTGAGCCCATCAGTCCCTACAGAGAAACCAGCAGGACCTGGCTTAGGACCACAGTGAGAAGCAGCTTGGGGTCATCCGGCCCTGCAGAACACCAGGCAGACTCAGCTTTCGGTAAGAAGAGCTGGGTAACTGCAGCCAAAAAACTGACACAGGGCAGAAGACCAGATCCTAGGCAGGCTGGAGACTGCTACACAAGAGTCCCCCATCACTGAGCTCGGTCACACTGACCGGCTTCTGTCCAGTTTCTGGTCAGGAGCTATGGCCTCTAGTGCAGGGCCATTCAGTCAAGACTAAGAGAGATCTGGCGATAATGAGGACTTCCACAGGGTATGCCGTCCCTCCACTTACCTTATGAAACCAGGCCATGGAAGTGGCATGTATTCGAATCTCAGCCTCCCACCCCAACCCACCACTGCATTTTATTTCTTAGCTGTTATTATATGGTGACAAGCCATCTTGCCTGTTTTCTAGAACAAGGCAAGGCATAGGTAAATAAGTGTCGCTGTGAGCACTAAAGTAAATCTGAGTACTTTCTAGAAATAACCTTCCCAATCCCCAAAAAGAACCTGCTCCAAATCTGAGAAACAGATGAAGCAGGCCCAGCTGTGACAGTGCAAGCAGGAGCGTGCTGCTGTGCAATGGCTGGGCTGCATGGGAGGCCTGGGTTCAGTTCCTGGCCCAACCTAAACAGCCAGACATGGTGGCATGCCCCTGTGGTTCTAGCTAACTGGGAGGCTGGAAAAGGCAGGACACAACATGGAGAAACCCTGCTGAAAATGCCTTTCCTTTCCACCTCTCAATCACACTCATATCCTCTCTCTTCATTAAAGAAAAAAAAAAAAAAAAAGAAAGAAAGAAGAAGGGGGCCAGCAGGTGACATGGCGCTTAAATGCTGGACTCACACATGGCTGACCATGGTTTGAGACCCCAGACCCCGAGGCTAGACATAGGTGCATGCATGTCAAAAGTCCTGAGAGGAGAAGGGATTGCGGCATGGCCATCCCCCCTAGGGGATGATTTCTCACTTTTGCTCTCTAACTCTCACCAATGAGTGCACTCGCCCTAGGGCAAAAACCTAAAATAAAAAAGGAGAGGAAGACTATTATAGATTTACTAGATTTAAAGGAACATAATCACCGAATGCCATCCAGGAATTCTGACTAAACCTTGGTTACAAAAACATAGGACTGGGACAATTGGAGATATTTGCATATGGACTGGACATTAGATGACTTTTGAAATTACAGTTAATTTTCTTAGGTCCAATAATAGTACTATGGTTTTATATAAGAATGCTCTTATTCTTGGGAGACTAATGATAGCTACAGCTATTCTCAAGGGGTCTTTGCTATTGCTTTGTTTAGTTTCTCTTCCATGAGTGAGACAGAGAGAGAGAGAGACTATCTATCCTCAATAGGGTTCTGATGCCACAGTTGTGGATACCAATTTACCTACAGCCTTTAGCAAGACCCAAGCCACGGGCAAGGGCATGCCCAGCGTCCTTGGGGGGCCCTAGACTTAAATAGGGAACGTCCCCATGAGGGACTGCCTCACAGACCACCACATTTTACTGCTGTGCCACCATCTGGCCTGTCCCAAATGGTTTTATAGGTCTGAACTTTTTAGTGCAAAGCATCATTATATTTTCAATTTACCTTTAAACAGTTTAGGGGGGATGCGAACACTCACACACTCACATGCAGATAAGACAACGCAGTCACGCTAACAAACAACAAACATCAGTCCAAGTGGAGTACTTCTGGGTTTTCGTTGGATCCCCCTTTCAATTCTTCTGTACGTTTGCAAATTTCATAGTAAAAAATTGGAAAAGGGTATTTTTTGTTAATTGGCAGGGCTATTAAAATAATTAAACCTCTGAGAACAGAACACCCCATTATTCTTTTTTTCTTAAAAAAAAAAAAAAAAAAAAAAAAACCTGAGCCAGGGGAGCCCTACAATACATAATGGGACTAAAGAAACCATTAGCTAATTGAGTGACAGACCCGAGCATACAGAGGAGGCTGAAAGGCGCAAGTGTGGCTGGAAAACATATACTGGAATCTTAGTTATAAATAGCAGTCGTAGCCACCTCGCCTCTGGGGCCTCTGGTTTCACTGCAGCCGTGCTGACGACTCTACAAAGGCCCTTTCTCCTCCAGTATGTCTTCTTACTGCCTTTTGAGGCATTGCTCAAAAATCAAGAAACCCACAAAAAAGTGGATGTAAGTCAATCCTCATAGCTAGAATCAGACTTGGCTTGGGAAGCTCAACAAATACACACTCAATCTCATCTGCCCTGCTCCTCTCCTCTCATGCAGTTCATTTATGTGACAGAGCACCTACTGAGTCACACAGAAGTCTGTGCTCCTGGGCACTTACATTCTGGTTAGGAAAGACAAGCAATTTGAAAAATAAAATAAAAGGAAACTGCATAACCTGTTAGAAGCTAGCCAGATGCAATAGGTAAAACTGAAAAAAAGGAAGGGGGATGGAGAATGCTAAGCTGGGAGGGTGATCTGGAGTGGTAAAAAAAGTCTCGCTGAGCAAAGACCTAAAGAAGAATGGGAGAAAGCACAGACGCATCTGAAGGAAGACTAATCCAGGGAGAGGAAAAAGCAAGTCCCATGGCCCTGAGTGTCTGAGGAGGGGCAGAGAGGCCAGGGCAGATGGAATGGGGGTGAGGAAAGAGGAGCAGACGATGAGGGCAGGATGTGACCAGAGCCCACGAAGGTCCTGGAGCCTTGCAAAGTCCTTCGCTTTGCTCTGCCGTTATAGGGTGCTGAGCAAGGAGATGACAAGCATAATCATCCTGGCTGTAGGAGGAGCAAGGGGTGAAGCAGACAAAACCAGGTAGAAGGTCACTGTGGCAATCCAGGCGAGGATGGATGGTGGCTGGGCCGAGGTGATGACAGCTTTCTAGACATTGGGTATCTAAGAAGACTCTACCTTGGTTCCTTTTGAGCCTGTATCAGCGAAGACTGCTGATTCTCCACTGAGCACATCAGCCAGGCCCCATACGCCCCATATGCTGATCTCTTGGAATCAAAGCTTTGGCAAATCACAGGAACTACAGGAACTTAAAAGGATGGCTAGAGGAAGTCAGAATCAGTCAGGACCAAACAGAACACATACAATGAAAACATTGTGCTGGCAAGAGACCCAGGCTCTACCGAGAAAGCCAAAGGCCCAAGTTCATGCTAACTTCAGTGATTAGTAACGTACTTGGGTTATAGGGTCGTGCCCTTCTGTGCTGTTCTAAGAACTGAATGATCCACCGGTATGTTATAATACTACTCGATAGGGTTCAACAGACCCTGATGGGAAAGATATTAGAACCTGGGGAGGAAAGAACCTGGGAAATCTCCATGACCATACCAGGAGAACTCTTTAAAACCTGCTATACCTGAGCCAGCAGGTGGCGTGGTGGTTGAGGTGTTGGACATCCACATAACCAACCAACATTCAAGTCCTGAACCAGGCAGCTTGCTTGCTTGCTCGCACTCTCTCTCTCTCTCTCTCTCTCTCTCTCTCTCTGTGTGTGTGTGTGTGTGTGTGTGTGTTTCTCTCCAGTCAAATTAAATAATAAGTAAAATTTAATAA